ATTCTAGTTTTAGAGACCACGAAGGTTTCTGAAAATATTCTTTGTATATTTCTTCAAAAGCTGTGTTAACAATGTGAAAAATGCCCTTATATAGGCGCACAAAACCCTAACAGAAATCTGGCACTTGCCTTAAATCTTATCAACTTTAATGACAAGTGTCCCTACCTTTGAATCCCTATATACACGTATACTATTCTAGAATGAAGCAAGATAAAGCATTTATACGTAATTTTCTCTAAGTTATTCACTTCCTTAGTTGACCACATTCAGCTCTTTATAGCTCGCAGGTCGTTTCTTAGTCAGATTGCTTAACACTCAGGTCGTTCCTCTGTCAGATTGCTGATCGTTGTAACGACCTGTCACGATGCTCCTATGTCATTATCCCCTTCTTGAAAAAGATTCGACCTCGAATCAACGTCGTCTTCTTCTGTTCGTTCTTCGACGTTCTCTTCCTGGTATGGTGATAAATCAGACACATTGAAGGTACTTGAGACTCCATAGTTACTTGGCAACTTAATCTTGTAATCATTGTCATTGATCTTTTCGAGCATTATGAAGGGTCCATCAGCTCGCGGTTGTAGCTTACCAAATCTCCTTGCTCGAAATGTTTCCTTCCTCAAATGAATCCAAACCAAGTTTGCAGGTTGAAACACCACTTTCTTACAATGACAATCTGCCTTCTGCTTATAGACTTCATTTTGCTTTGAGATTTGTTGCTTCAATTGGGCATGCAGATCCTTGATCATCTCAGCCTACTCTTCTCCATTTGAAATGTAGTGATGTAGAACTGGTAATGACGCTAAGTCAAGGGGTGTAGATGGATTCCTCCCATTGACACGACCTCAAATGGACTTCTCTTCGTGGTTCGGTTGGGCGATCTGTTGTATGAGAACTCAGCTTGTGGCAACACCAAGTCCTACCATTGCGGACTATCACCAACTAAACTTCTCAATAAATTGCCCAAACTTCGATTTACAACCTTTGTTTGTCCATCTGTCTGGGGATGATAAGATGAACTAAAATGTAACTTCGTTCCCATCTTTCACCACATCGTCCTCCAAAAATGACGCACAAACTTCACATCACGATCTAAAGTAAGCGATCTTGGAACTCCATGCAAACAAACAACCTTTTGCCGGAATAACCTCGCGATTTGTGATGCATCAAAGGTCTTGTTACATGGAATGAAATGTGCCATCTTGGAAAAACAATCTACTACCACCGTGGTCAAGTCTTTGTTCCTCTGTGTCCTCGGCAATCCCAACACAAAATCTCAACTTAGATCTTCCCAAGGTGCCATAGGAACTGGTAAAGACCGCTATTGGTGCTCTGAGTCTTCGCTAGTTGACATGTCTGACATTGCTCGACGTATCTCATCACGTCTCTTTCCATGCGAGGCCAAGAGAAGTGTTCACTGATTAGAGTCATCGTTTTGGTGACCATCTAGATCTCCCCCATGAGTCTCCTCAATGATTGCTCCCCTCAAAGTTAGGAACGCAAAGCTTGTTTCCCTTGAAGAGATAACCTTCCTGAATCAAGAACTGTTGATAAGGTCGCTCTTGACATTTCTCCCAAATCTCTCCAAAATAAAGATTATCGTGATACAGCCCCTAAAACTCGTCAAACCTTGTCACCTGAACTTCCATAGTTGCAAATAGAGTATGTCAGTGACTTAAAGCATCAACAACTTTGTTCAGTACTCTAGACTGATGTTTGATAGCAAATGTGAAAACCTGCATAAATTCTACCCACTTTGCATGCCTTGAATTGAGCATGTGCTGCCTGTTAATATACTTCAACGATTCATGATCAGACTGTAGCACGAACTCTTTGGCGTAAAAGTAGTGCCTCCAATGTTCTAAGCTTCTTACAATCACATAGAACTCTTTATCATAGGTCGAGTACCTTCTCTTTACATCATTGAACTTCTTGTTGAAAAATGCTATTGGTTGGGTATTCTGACTCAGTACTCCCCCTATTCCCACTTCTGAAGCATCGTAATGTACTTTGAATACCTCTTTGAAGTCTGGCAATGCGAGTACTGGTGCTTTTGTTACCTTTTCCTTTAACAGACAAAAGCTTTTCTAGCCTGTCTGGTCCACTCAGATTTTCCACCCTGTAAACATTTGGTGATTGGTGCGATAATTGTACTAAAATTCGAATAAACCATCTATAACATGATGCCAACCCGTGAAAGCTTTTGACGTTGTGGATACTCTTCGGAACTGACCAACTTAAGATCGCCTCTACTTTAGTTTCATCCGTTCTAATTCCTTTGTGGACATTACATACCTCAGAAATGTTACTTCGGTAGAGCAGAATTGACACTTTTTCAGATTTGCGAACAACCTTTCCTTTCACAAAATCTCAAACACTTTCTTTAGATGCTCCAAGTGTTTTTCCTAGTTACTGCTATAAATGAGAATGTCATCAAAATATACAACTACAAATTTCCCAACGTCACCCTTCCCATCCCCATTTATTGTTATGGTAATGCAAATGCCACCAGTGGTTATTGATCTACTACTAGACCTGCTTGAGCTTTGGGTTTCTTTTTTATCTTGGGTTAAGCAACTGGAATTACACTAAGGGTGTGTTTGGTTGGGAGTAATCTTCCATTACCGAGGTATGTTACTTAATACTTGATTAGCATGTTTAGGTGTCAAGTAATATAAGATTTTCGTAATCTTTCAAAACCAATATTAGTTACTGTGATAATAGGAGGTAATTTGATAATCCTATTTTTTAGTATTTAAGATTATTGGTAATCTTATTTTTGTTACAATTTACCCTTAACTATTAAAATTTTGGACAATAATGCCTTCAATTTGAAAACAATTACAAAATATTCATGGATTATTTTATCCTCATATACAAAATTTTTAGGACATAAATACCCTTGGACTTGAAAAAAATTATCCAAGGGTGAAGGTCAAATTGGCCACCACGCCAGTCATCGGCCGGGTCGAAAATGGTCAGTCGTGCACCGATGGTCGTTTCTACCCAATCTATGGCTTCTGGCCATTAATGAAGGCTAGATTTGGCGCGTCAATGACCAAAGTTTGGCTATGGCTAGAACTGATGTAGGGAATAGGGGTAACTTGTCTTACACAAGGCAGCGCATTCAACGGAGCTAAAATGGCGACCAAATAAACAATAGGATAGACACTACTAAGGACAGCGTAAGCCACTAAGGATTTACGGAGGAAAAGGGAACTTCTCCAAACTCTAAAGAAACTGAAGCAAAATTTGATTGGGCCATAACAGCAAGGCCTTCGATCCACTGACATCAATAAAGTTCTTGTTTCTCTTGTTAAGATCCCCCACGATATGGTCATTATCATTTTTCTCTGAAGCACTAAAGCTTACTTTCTAGACCTGAAATCAGAAAGCCTTTCAACCAATAAATTTGAGATGAATCGAGGCACCGCCAAGAAATTTTTAAGGTTGAAATCTGATGTCTTTCCAAATTCTTATTTTGTTCTCGCTACCTACAACTAGCTTCGTATAAGATGAAAAATTTTAAGCCTTGAGAATGTAACTTTTATGAGCAGTTGCCTGACCTCACTGATTCTGTATAGGAGTCTGACCTTTATTTTGAGGAGCATAATTCTAATAATGTCATGCCAATGAGGATTTTACCAGTAGAAATCACCACAAGCCTTTTCAAGAAGAGCCAAGTTTCTCTTATAAGGGGCTTGCATGCATATGACAACATTATTTGGTAGTGATCAGTTTAGGCTATCTTGGAGAATTGAAGTAGCATATCAGTCATATCCTGTGTCTTACTGTTATTTTCCCTCCTCTTTTGTTGACAGTGAGATATTGTTACTTTACATAAGGTTGTATTCATAGATGATAAGTTATTGAAGTTGTGCAAAAGGAAACAGAATCTACCTGTCAACTATCTGAGCTAAAGGTAGCTCATGCTTTTTGCACCTGGATGCTTATTTAATTATTATTTTTTTTTTGTTTTGCTTCTCTGCTCATTAAGTTCTGTCTTTTGCATACGGACACATACACGTACACTTTATTTGTGTGTGGATGTGGGTATGTATTTATGTAAGAATAGAACCCACTAAACTGCCAACCTTCTATTTAGTTAGTATCCTACCACGTTGTTTTGGATAAAAACTCCCTTGTTTCAATGTCTATAGTTGAGGAAATTGATGTAATCCATTCTAATACACTTTGACCGATATGATTTATTCATTTTCAAATTGGACTACTCTCGTTTGTGCAACTACAGCTATTGGTTAACAGCAAAACCAGTTCTTTTTCAATTGATGTTAACTCTGAACTTGCCATTAGACCTTGCTAGCTTTCCTTCTTTGTTATTTTTTCTTTTTATTTGCTGAAATAAAGTCGAATCTCTTATTTGAAGAGGGTGTTTTCCATAACAAGTCTTATTTTATTTATTTATTTATTTTGAATATTCACAATATCAGGTAAGTTTTCTTTTGCTTAATAGCTTATTGGTTGGCAATGAACAAGTTTGCTGTAAAAAGATGTAGAAAAGTAAAAAATATGACCATAATATCAGATTTATTTATTTTCTTTTGTGTAGGATAAACTATAGAAATCAATGATTTAATGTATTTCTTTGGGATTTTTTCTTTTATTTATTTGGTATTTTAGTTTTATTTATTCCCTAGCCTATATGATACACATTGGATGATCTTCCTGGAGACTACCTTTTAGAGGATGATCTCTTTGCCTTTTAGATGGTAGCATTCTCTAGGATATTTGATTATCATTTTTACTTCTTGGTCTTGCTAATTTAACAAAGAGAGACACTGAATCCATTTCAACCCTGTTTCCTAGAGTTTGTTTTTCACATACTTACATGTTTATAAACTTTTACTTTTCTTCTAGTTATGCTTTTCAATTGATGTTTCTCTTTTTCTCTCTCTTTCTATATGATTGAATCTAAAGACAAATTAGGAGATTATGCTCTTTATTGTTTGCTACTTGAATAAGACCTTGATATGCATTTACAGGGTGCTTGGATCCTGAAAACTTCAAAGAATTTAAACTTGTTAAACGTATCCAACTCAGTCATAATGTTGCTAAGTTCACATTTGCCCTTCCGACACCAGCTTCAGTGTTAGGGCTTCCAATTGGACAACATATGAGCTGCAGGTTTGTTTCATGGTTGGCTTTGGTTTCTACTATTTACATTCAGAATACAATCCCAATGCTCCTTTTTTTGTATGTGTTATTATATATTTTATTGGGTTCTTTTATGGTCCACAATGGAATACTGCTTATAAAATTATTTTCTCACCCAGAGGAAAGGATAGTCTTGGTGAAGAAGTTATCAAAGCATACACTCCGACAACTTTGGACTCAGATCTTGGACACTTTGAATTGGTTATAAAGGTTCACACATTCTAGACTTCTTTGCTAGCTGTTAATGATAAGCCAAGAGTTAATTTCTTCTTTTTCAAATATTAGCACTGCAATTAAGATTTTCTTTCATATTTAATAGATGTATCCACAAGGAAGAATGTCTCACCATTTCCGTGAGATGCGTGAAGGTGATTACCTTGCTGTGAAAGGACCCAAGGTGAAAATCTTTGACTTGAGTTATACTACATATTTAAGTCATTGTTATTTTCCTCCATTTTGATCTTACACAATATGCGTAATAATAGTGTGATTAAAAATAAGTTTTGGTTCCCCCTTCCCATCCCCATTTATTGTTATGGCTAATGCAAATGCCACCAGTGGTTATTGATCTACTACTAGACCTGCTTGAGCTTTGGGTTTCTTTTTTATCTTGGGTAGAGCAACTGGAATTACACTAANTCTATTTTGATCTCACACAATTTGCGTAATAATAGCGTGATTAAAAATAAGTTTTGGCTCCCCTTTCCCATCCCCATTTATTGTTATGGCTAATGCAAATGCCACCAGTGGTTATTGATCTACTACTAGACCTGCTTGAGCTTTGGGTTTCTTTTTTATCTTGGGTAGAGCAACTGGAATTACACTAAGGGTGTGTTTGGTTGGGAGTAATCTTCCATTACCGAGGTAATGTCATCTTATATTACTTGATTAGCATGTTTAGTTGTCAAGTAATATAAGATTTTCGGTAATCTTTCAAAACCAATATTAGTTACTGTTGATAATATAGGAGGTAATTTGATAATCTCTATTTTCTTAGTATTTTAAGATTACTTGGTAATCTTATTTTTGTTACAATTTTACCCTTAACTATTAAAATTTTGGACAATAATGCCTTCAATTTGAAAACAATTTACAAATATATTCATGGACTATTTTATCCTCATATACAAAATTTTTAGGACATAAATACCCTTGGACTTGAAAAAAACTATCCAAGGGTGAAGGTCAAATCTGGCCACCACCGCTAGTCATTGACTGGCGTCGAAAATGGTCAGTCGTGCACCGATCTGGTCGTTTCTAGCCAAATCTATGGCTTCTGGCCATTAATGAAGGCTAGATCTTTGGCCGTCGTTGGCTGCCAAAACTAACGACCAAAGTTTTGGCTGTTGATGACTAGAACTGATGCAGGGAACTAGGGGTTAACTTGTCTTTACACTAGGCGGCGCATTCAACGGAGCTAAAATGGCGACCAAATAAACAATAGGATAGACACCTACTAAGGATAGCGTAAGCCCACTGAGGATTTATGGCTTGATGAATGCCCACAAAGGACAGTAAACTCACAAAGGATTCTAGTTTTAGAGACCACAAAGGTTTCTGAAAATATTCTTTGTATATTTCTTCAAAAGTTGTGTTAACAAAGTGAAAAATGCCCTTATATAGGCGCACAAAACCCTAATAGAAATCTGACACTTGCCGTAAATCTTATCAACTTTAATGACAAGTGTCCCTACCTTTAAATCCCTATGTACACGTATACTATTCTAGAATGAAGCAAGATAAAGCATTTACACGTAATTTTCTCTAAGTTATTCACTTTCCTAGTTGACCACATTCAGTTCTTTATAGCTTGTAGGTCGTTTCTTAGTCAGATTGCTTAACACTCAGGTCGTTCCTTTGTCAGATTGCTGATCGTTGTAACGACCTGTCACGATGCTCTTGTGTCATTATCCCTTTCTTGAAAAAGATTCGACCTTGAATCAATGTCGTCTTCTTTTGTTCGTTCTTCGACGTTCTCTTCCCGGTATGGTGATAAATCAGACACATTGAAGGTACTTGAGACTCCATAGTTACCTAGCAGCTCAATCTTGTAAGCGTTGTCATAGACCACATTTTGCTTTGAGATTTGTTGCTTCAATTGGGCATGCAGATCCTTGATCATCTCAGCCTGCTCTTCTCCATTTGAAATATAGTGATGTAGAACTCGTAATGACGCTAAGTCAAGGGGTGTAGATGGATTCCTCCCATTGACGACCTCAAATGGACTTCTCTTCGTGGTTCGGTTGTGCGATTTGTTGTATGCGAACTCAGCTTGTGGCAACACCAAGTCCTACTATTGCGGACTATCACCAACTAAACTTCTCAATAAATTGCCCAAACTCCGATTTACAACCTTTGTTTGTCCATCTGTCTGGGGATGATGAGATGAACTAAAATGTAACTTCGATCCCATCTTTCACCACATCGTCCTCCAAAAATGACTCACAAACTTCACATCACCATCTAAAGTAAGCGATCTTGGAACTCCATGCAAACAAACAACCTTTTGTCGGAATAACCTCGCGATCTGTGATGCATCAAAGGTCTTGTTACATGGAATGAAATGTTCCATCTTGGAAAAACAATCTACCACCATGGTCGAGTCTTTGTTCCTCCGTGTCCTCGGCAATCCCAATACGAAATCTCAACTTAGATCTTCCCAAGGTGCTATAAGAACTAGTAAAGATGTGCATAGACTGCTATTGGTGCTCTGAGTCTTCGCTAGTTGACATGTCTGACATTGCTCGACGTATCTCATCACGTCTCTTTCCATGCGAGGCCAAAAGAAGTGTTCACTGATCAGAGTCATCGTTTTATCTTTCCCAAGGTGACCATCTAGATCTCCCCCATGAGTCTCCTCAATGATTGCTTCCCTCAAAGTTAGGAATGCAAAGCTTGTTTCCCTTGAAGAGATAACCTTCTTGAATCAAGAATTGTTGATAAGGTCGCTCTTGACATTTCTCCCAAATCTCTCCAAAATAAAGATCATCGTGATACAACCCTTGAAACTCATCAAACCTTGTCACTTGAACTTCTATAGTTGCAAATAGAGTATGTTAGCTACTAAAAGCATCAACAACTTTGTTCAGTACTCTAGACTGATGTTTGATAGCAAATGTGAAAACCTGCATAAATTATACCCACTTTGCATGCCTTGAATTGAGCATGTGCTGCCTGTTAATATACTTCAACGATTAATGATCAGAATGTAGCACGAACTCTTTGGCGTAAAAGTAGTGCCTCCAATGTTCTAAGCTTCTTACAATCACTTAGAACTCTTTATCATAGGTCGAGTACCTTCTCTTTACATCATTGAACTTCTTGTTGAAAAATGCTATTGGTTGGGTATTCTGACTCAGTACTCCCCCTATTCCCACTTCTGAAGCATCGTAATGTACCTTTTCCTGTAACAGACAAAAGCTTTTCTAGCCTGTCTGGTCCACTCAGATTTTCCACCCTTTAAACATTTGGTGATTGGTGCGATAATTGTACTAAAATTCGAATAAACCATCTATAACATGATGCCAACCCGTGAAAGCTTTTGACGTTGTGGATACTCTTCGGAACTGACCAACTTAAGATCGCCTCTACTTTAGTTTCATCCGTTCTAATTCCTTTGTGGACATTACATACCTCAGAAATGTTACTTCGGTAGAGCAGAATTGACACTTTTTCAGATTTGCGAACAACCTTTCCTTTCACAAAATCTCAAACACTTTCTTTAGATGCTCCAAGTGTTTTTCCTAGTTACTGCAATATATGAGAATGTCATCAAAATATACAACTACAAATTTCCCAATGTAAGCTCGAAAAACTTGATTCATCAACCTCATAAATGTGCTCGACGCATTTTACAACCCAAACAGCATGTCGATCCACTCATACAACCCATCTCGCGTTTTGAAAGCGATATTCCGTTCATCACCAAGTCTCATCCTAATCTGATGATAACCACTTTGTAGATCTATCTTTGAAAAGACAATGGCTCCATGTAACAAATCTATCAAGTCATCGAACCTTGGAATGGGGAATCGATACTTGATCATTATTTTGTTGACAGCTCGACTGTCAATACACATTCTCCATGAGTCATCTTTCTTGGGTACTATAAGTGCGGGCACTACACACAGACTCAATACTCTCCTTGATAACTCCCTTAACAAGTAATTCTTGAACTTGCTTCTTAAGCTCGTCATGCTCCTTAGGACTCATACAATAAGCAGCCTTGTTAGGAATGGTCGCTTCTAGCACAAAATCAACACAATGTTAGATGTCGTGCATTGGCGGCAAACCTGGTGGCATCTTCTTCGGAATCATATCGCTAAATTCCTCTAACACTAGTCGCACTTGTTTTGGCACTTTGAATTGTTCTTCGTTCTCTTCAATAACGACCGAAGTAAAAACCTCTACTCTGTTGTCAATCTCTTCTACTATGTCGGCCTTCGACAAATAATGGTTTTCTTGTGAATCTCCAACATGCTTCAAATCTGTTAGTGCTAGAGTAATCTTCTTTTCGTCCTTTTTCAACGAATAAGTATTCTTGTAACCATTATGCATAGCTCGATGTCATATTGCCACAATCTTTCAAACCAAATGTGGCATGCATCCATTGGAGTGACGTCACACTAGACCTCGTCTTTGTAACTCATCTGATTGAAAATTTTACAAGGCATCTCTAGTTGACTCATACTTCGTTACCCTTCTTAAACCATGAAAGTTTATACAGCCTCAGTTGTTCTTATGTCTGCAAACTCAACTTATCAATCATACTTGATGCGATCATGTTCTCACAACGTCCTTCATCAATGATAATGTTGCACACTTTACCATATGCTGTGCATCTTGTGTGAAAGATATTGTTGTGAAGCCAAGAATCACCTTCGCCCAGGACCTCCACATTTAATGTCCTTTTGATGACCAAACATTCTCCCTGATAGCCATAAACAATCTCTCTCTCTTCCAACTCTCTTGACACTTCCTTGTCATAGATCGGTTCATCTTCTCATTCTTCAATTAGAGTAACAACTTGTCTACCAATGCCTGATACCTTGACATTTGTAACATCCCTTATAGCTCACTTGTTCCACTTGCTTTCCTTTATCAGTGGGCTTAGACTTTTCCTTGAAATTCTGCTTGGTGTTCTTCTGTGAGCTTGAGCCTTCCCTTTCTACAAACTTTTTCGTATAACGTGAAAAACTTGTGTTTCTTGTTTTCAACTGCTTTTCCACTCTCATCGCTAAACGACAAACATCGTTGTACCCATAGTACTATTGTAGATACACCATATTAGACAAACTATCAAGCAGTAGTTTGTGATATTCAATATAGGCCTCTTTCCTATAGTTTGTGATATGCATAGCTCGACGATCATATTCCACTCTCATTCGCAAACCTTCCAAAAACCTTGTGATTGTCTGTCTTCCTCCACAACATCGCATTGCATTCTCATTCAATCAAACTTAGCGATGCAGTCTTCCACCAACAAACTACCTTGCGATGGGTTGTGATATTCAATGTAGGCCTCTTGCCTATAGTGCTTGGGCACAAACTTGCGCACTAGTAGTTTCTTCATCTTTTCCCACGTCGTGATCTTAGGCTTTTGTTCTCGAGCTCGTTGCTTCTTGACATGTTCCCACCATGTAGAAGCATGTTTTCTCAAGCGAATAGCGATCACCTTCACCTTTTGTTCATCTGTGAACTCTTTAATATCAAAGAGTCTCTCGACTATATGCAACCAATCTAAAAAGTCATCTAGGTGTGCTTTCCCATCGAACTTCGGAATCTCCACCTTCATACCAACGTTCAATGATAACGTCCTTCGCCTTGGTTCATTCTGATAACCCCTCTCACTTAACGACTCTCTGAATGGGTTATCGTTCTCATCATTCTCACCACCACTTTTAGTCGCCTCATCTGACCCATTCAAATGATTCCAGTCAGTTGAGTCCTCCAACTGTAAAACCCTTTGCCGGAGCTGCTTATTTTGCACCTGGGTTTCTTGAAGCAATCTTCTCAACTCGTTATTTTCTTCGATTGGCACAAGCCTCTTCCTCCAACTTTGGACCACAGACTCTTCCCCGACTGCTGTGTCTTCCATGGCCACAGACGTTACTGGTTTCTACCATTTCACAACTTAACACACAACTCTTTGAACTCAAAACTGAACAAAAGAACTTGTTTTGACCAAAAATCTCTCCCAAAACCAAAACTTGCTCTGATACCAATACTAATGCAGGGAACTAGGGGCTAACTTGTCTCTGCACAAGGCGGCTTGTTTAGTGGAGCTAAATTAGCGACTGGACAAACAATAGGATAGACGCCCGCTAAGGATTTATGACTTGATGAACGCCCACAACGGACGGTGAACCCACAAAGGATTCTAGTTTTAGAGACCACAAAAGTTTATGAAAATATTCTCTGTATATTTCTTCAAAAGTTGCGTTAACAATGTGAAAAGTGCCTTTATAAAGGCGCACAAACCCCTAATCGAAATCTGACACTTGCCCTAATCTTATCAACTTTAATGACAAGTGTCCCTACCTTTAAATCCCTACATACATGTGTACTATTCTAGAATAAAGCAAGATAAAACATTTACACATAATTTTCTCTAAGTTATTCACTTCCCTAGTCGACCTCATTCAGCTCTTTATAGCTCGCAGGTTGATTTTAGACAGATCGTTGATCGCTATAACGACCTGTCATGATGTTCCTGCGTCAAGAACTCTGGCCATTAACTATGGCTAGAACATTAGCCGTTAATGACGGCCAGTTCTGCCTGTAGATATGGCCATTTCCTGTTATATACATCATGAATCTGGTAAAAAACGGCCAGATTGACGTACGACTGATCAAATACGACCGGTCATGCGCCGTTATGGCCACTGTCGATAGTTGCCTGTAGTGGCTTGGGGTGAGTAGGGTGTTTTTGCTAAGTTTAAAACTTTTTTGGTTGTTGGGGTGTTTTAGCTGAATCTTTAATGTAAAGGGTTAAAAAAATGATCTACAAAATAATAATAAAAATAATATTATATTAATATTTAAAAAGAACGGCAATTTAGTCAATTATATAATATATCTACCAATTTATTCTTTCCAACCAACCAAACATATTTTTTGAAACGTTCCCAATAATCTTCAAGATAATTGAACTTTTCATTAATATAACATTCTCAGTAATATAACATTTCTTGAACCTAACACACTCTAAATTATTAGTAAATGCCACCAATGCTAACATGTAATTCACCAAAGTTTCTTTTAATTATTTTTTATATAATAAACTTACATGTGTCAAACTTAAATTAAATTAATTATGGCTTCGTTTGGTTAGATTTTGGGAATACTACTTTTAGTATTCCCAAAAAAGTTAAACAGTAAAATACCCAAAAACTCACAATATTATTCAATATTTTTTAAACCCTCTAAATTTGTTAATTCAATTAAATACCCCTAAATATTTTTAATGTTTTTGTTACGGCGACTCCGGCCACCCTCCGGCGGTGGTGGCCGGCTGTCCGTATTTGAGGGTAGATTGGGGGTGTTTTTGTTAACTTTTAATTTTTTATTATAAAGGGTGTTTTGTAAAAAAACAAACATAAGGGGGTATTTTACAATTTGTAAATCCTACATCATAATACCCACCCAATTCAACTTTTTTTTTTAACTTTTTTCAAAAAACTTTTCTCAAAAACACAAAATTGTGAACCAAACGGAGCCTATACCTTCAATTTTTTTTTTTTTTTTTTTTCCACATTTTAAAAATTGAATTTGTTACCTTCAATTACCTTTTACCTATTAGATTGACGTATCAATCTAAATTGGATTATTTATACATATAAATTATTTTATCATTTTTTTAGTACTACTACTGAACGCTTTCCCCATTTTCATTTCCAAATACTTGTTTTAGAAAAATGATGACTAACAGAATCTTAAATTTTAAAAGTTAAAAACCAAATTTCCTATTTTCATTTTCGGGTTCAATTTTTTAAGCAAAAATAAAGAGTTCAATAATGAATGGGCCCTAAGTTTTTCGGAGAATTGTCTATAGACCACAATTTGTTTAGACTATCAAATGGGAGATCAGTCTCTTTTGGTTTTCTCGCAAGGGGTTATTTGATTTTAATGTCATCACGTGTGACTTCAATGATGTAGAATTTTCACATGGAAGTATAAATTAAGCTCCTATGTAATTTCCCCTCTTTGGTTCGTCTTTAAACAAGGAAGAAAAGTTTTTTAATGTACAATCTATAATATACTTTTCATAGAAACTATCTCACACAAACTAATGTGTTGTAGCATGATTGAATGATTTAAATTAAAGATAAGTGAAGCAGATTAAAGTGGATCTATGAAGGATTGCTACTTCAGTGTGCATAGATTAATTTGTATGATGAATCTCTCTCTCTCTCACTCTATATATATATATATATATATATATATATGAGTAATATTACATTGACAAACACTTTTCATTAACTTTTTTTCACAAACACGATATGTAAACTCGTAATTGGTCAGCTCGCATGGGTCTCGTTTACCCAACAATGGGTTCCACTTGATCAAGCTAATTGCGAGCTGTCACATCGCGTTTGTGAGAAGTGTTTGTCAAGCTATTTTTATTATATATATATATTACTCTACAATATTTTACACATAGCATATTCCTATTGGACCTTTATCGTTTTATTTAAACTTGATTTGTTACTTTTCCTCTCTTGTCATTAAATGCTTATTGTTTTTTGACTTAGAAATCCTTTCTATACTTCACTTCTTGCCATAAAATTTGCGTCTCTATGCCTTGGGGAAAGAATACTTCATTTTTCGTTAGAACTCTTAGTGGTAGGTGTCAATATTATATCAAGATTTATCTTTTGTGCAAGAGAAAAGACTTTCTTTCCTTTTTTTCTTTTTTCCTTGTTTTTAACTTTATGCCTTTCGCTCTTTATTAATGCTACAAATATTCCAAAAATTTGCACATGGCAAAACTTCTATCCTCAATATTTCAAGCATTTTTCACCTCTTAACAATTATTATCACTCTTTTCAAACATTTTAGAAAAATAAAAAAAAATCTTTCTGCTTCAAATTTGTCCTCCCTACTCATATTCTCTTTTATTTGTCATCTTTGTTCTCAATTTTTGTTTGCACTGAAAATGTTCAATGCAAAAAGTAATTTTCAAGAAATCTCTGGAGCTTATGGTGAATAAATACAAACTTTCCAAAGAGTCGTACTTTGAGAATTCTATTAAATGGTCATATTTAGTCAACTTTGATTTATGAGATTTAGAGCTTAGGGTGTGTTCATTGTAGTTTTCGTTTTCATTTTCTGTTTTCTTGAAAAAGGTGTAATATTTGTTCACTCTAAATTTTTCTTTCCTTTTTTTTTTTTTTTTTTTCCCCCAAATAGCAAAAGAAATAAAACCACAATTCACATGTACAATAAAAAATTTGACATGCACCAAAAAAATAAATAAATAAATAAAATAAAATAAATACTGTTTTTAAGGGAAATTATTTTATCTAACCCCTATTTTTAAGAAAGAAAATTAGAATCACATGTACAAAAAAAAAAATTTGACATACACAAATGTTCTTAAAATGATTGATATGACTTCTATATTCATTTTAGGGACGCTTCAAGTATCAACCAGGACAAGTTAGAGCTTTCGGGATGCTTGCTGGAGGCACTGGCATTACTCCAATGTTCCAAGTATGTATTTTGAAAAGTGCAACAGACCAATAACTTTGCACTTTGCCTTTATTTTTCTGTTGCTTAAATAATCATTTTTATTTTGTAATTGCTCATGTTTGATGTTTCCTCAGGTTGCTAGAGCCATCCTAGAAAATCCTATTGACACAACCAATATACGTCTTATCTATGCCAACGTAACATTTGAGGATATTCTTTTGAAGGTAATGTTCCTTGCTTTCTCTCTAGCATGCATTCTCTTTATTTGATTTACAGTGCTACAAACCCTAATCTCCTAGGCAAAAAGAAAAATCAAAAGAAGAAGGATTTATTTGTTGAAACGATAAACCAATTAAAGAACAAATTGTGAGTCGCAAGTTATACTTTCCCCTTTAGTGACCAAAAGAATTTATAACATTCTATGAAATAAGAGGTTGGAAGTGGATAGCAAATTGAGTTTATGAGAATTAGAAATGTACCAGAGTACAATGACTATAGTAATGAGAAAAAATGATATAATTTGTCCTAAACTAGAAAGGATGTACTTTATGCCAATGGGATAATGATAGCAATTTTTAAAGTGAGGTATAAAACCATAAATAGTTGGATAAATTTTATTAGTTACATTATCATGTGGGGCTAAAAACAGTTGGATTTCGTAGTATTAGAGCGTAAATACCAGGTGATGATAAATAGCCTCCATTAATTTGATCAATAGCCCCATTCTTCTATTTCACGGAGGGTAAAATTGTAATCTTATTTTATATTTAATTAAAAATAATTTTATGTTTTAAAATTATTAATTGACAGGTATTCTCAAAAAATGATGAAGAACCCTATGAATCCATCAATTTAATAAATGAGGATGATATAATATCAACCAAATATGAGAAAGGGAGATCTATTTCAATTATGTTATTCTATTTCAAATAAATGGTATGTTGTAGCAAATATTTTCCTTATGGAAGAAAATAATTTATTTTTTATTCATTGAGAATATTGCAAATGATTCTGAAAATTTTCTCTAATTATTCATGAGGAGAGGAAAAAATTTTGAGTGCACCAGTAATTTATAAAAGAAAAAAATAATAAAAAGAAGGTGATATGTAGGTGGCATAAAAGTGAAGAGGAGGTTATAATAAGTTTTGAGATAAATCCATTAAATACAATATATTATATTGATGAAGAAATGGTTGATCTCGTGATTGGAAGGGAAGAAAGCTAGATATGAGAGATTTCAATGAATTAAATTGAAAAACCGCAATGGTGGTTATTTTTTCTACAAAAATAATTGATGCACACATACTCTTTTACTAAGCACTATTTACCAAAAATTATTTCAAATTTATCTCTAAAATGGGAGCAACTAATAAAATAGGATGTTCAAAATTATCATACAAACTATTTCCTACAAATGGATGTGGTAACCTTAAATGTTTACAATAAGTTATATAAGTTGGTTTATAAAAGGAGATTGTATAGATATTATTAGGGGCAAGATTAACAGTCCTTTTAACTTTACACTATTTTTACATCAATTCCTGTCTTTTAGATTAAAGGACAATCTATACTTAGAAGTAATACTATACTTACAAAAACTTTATAAAAAGCCGTTCATATAAAGTGAGATGGCATTATTCATGCATTGCTATATTGGATGAGTTGGAACTACCATATTAATTGTTAATTATGTCTCTTACTTTTCTTTCTTCTCTTAACTTCTCTTTCCTCTCTCTTCATTCATCAAATTATTTGCAAACTTATTAATAAATATCTTAAGTCCACAAGATAAACAATATGTTAGCATCTTCACCTTCCGGTCTGCATTAGTGTGAATAACATTGCATAAACAATTAATGGTGTATGGCAATATTGTGGTTTTTTTAATTTAGAAATATATGTTGTTAAAAAATTATACATAAAAAGAGATAGAAAAGTATATAGGAATTTAATTCTCTCATCAAATATATCTACATAAATTTAAAAAAGGAAGTCTTGAATTGATTTAGAATTATAGGGTTGATTCGGCATATCTAAGCTCATGAAAGTTTTCATGAACATATAGACCTAAGTCATAAAATTACTGCATAAAANAGTGACCAAAAGAATTTATAACATTCTATGAAATAAGAGGTTGGAAGTGGATAGCAAATTGAGTTTATGAGAATTAGAAATGTACCAGAGTACAATGACAATAGTAATGAGAAAAAATGATATAATTTGTCCTAAACTAGAAAGGATGTACTTTATGCCAATGGGATAATGATAGCAATTTTTAAAGTGAGGTATAAAACCATAAATAGTTGGATAAATTTTATTAGTTACATTATCATGTGGGGCTAAAAACAGTTGGATTTCGTAGTATTAGAGCGTAAATACCAGGTGATGATAAATAGCCTCCATTAATTTGATCAATAGCCCCATTCTTCTATTTCACGGAGGGTAAAATTGTAATCTTATTTTATATTTAATTAAAAATAATTTTATGTTTTAAAATTATTAATTGACAGGTATTCTCAAAAAATGATGAAGAACCCTATGAATCCATCAATTTAATAAATGAGGATGATATAATATCAACCAAATATGAGAAAGGGAGATCTATTTCAATTATGTTATTCTATTTCAAATAAATGGTATGTTGTAGCAAATATTTTCTTTATGGAAGAAAATAATTTATTTTTTATTCATTGAGAATATTGCAAATGATTCTGAAAATTTTCTCTAATTATTCATGAGGAGAGGAAAAAATTTTGAGTGCACCAGTAATTTATAAAAGAAAAAAATAATAAAAAGAAGGTGATATGCAGGTGGCATAAAAGTGAAGAGGAGGTTATAATAAGTTTTGAGATAAATCCATTAAATACAATATATTATATTGATGAAGAAACGGTTGATCTCATGATTGGAAGGGAAGAAACCTAGATATGAGAGATTTCAATGAATTAAATTGAAAAACCGCAATGGTGGTTATTTTTTCTACAAAAATAATTGATGCACACATACTCTTTTACTAAGCACTATTTACCAAAAATTATTTCAAATTTATCTCTAAAACGGGAGCAGCTAATAAAATAGGATGTTCAAAATTATCATACAAACTATTTCCTACAAATTGATGTGGTAACCTTAAATGTTTACAATAAGTTATATGAGTTGGTTTATAAAAGGAGATTGTGTAGATATTATTAGGGGCAAGATTAACAGTTCTTTTAACTTTACACTATTTTTACATCAATTCCTGTCTTTTAGATTAAAGGACAATCTATACTTAGAAGTAATACTATACTTACCAGAACTTTATAAAAAGCCGTTCGTATAAAGTGAGATGGCATTATTCATGCATTGCTATATTGGATGAGTTGGAACTACCATATTAATTGTTAATTATGTCTCTTACTTTTCTTTCTTCTCTTAACTTCTCTTTCCTCTCTCTTCATTCATCAAATTATTTGCAAACTTATTAATAAATATCTTAAGTCCACAAGATAAACAATATGTTAGTATCTTCACCTTCCGGTCTGCATTAGTGTGAATAACATTGCATAAACAATTAATGGTGTATGGCAATATTGTGGTTTTTTTAATTTAGAAATATATGTTGTTAAAAAATTATACATAAAAAGAGATAGAATAGTATATAGGAGTTTAATTCTCTCATCAAATATATCAACATAAATTTAAAAAAGGAAGTCTTGAATTGATTTAGAATTATAGGGTTGATTCGGCATATCTAAGCTCATGAAAGTTTTCATGAACATATAGACCTAAGTCATAAAATTACTGCATAAAAGTTATTCAATATGGAGAAAATATATTGTAAAAACTGAAGTCTAAGATTAACTATTAATAAATTTGTGTTTATTAATAAAAGACCGAGAGAGAGAAAAATAGTGAGTGAGGAAAAGAAGGAAAATAATCATCAATTACTTTGTTGGTCTCATTTAATCTTAGCCATAAATTATCCTTTAATCTAGTGGATAAAAATTGATGTAAAAGATAGTGGAAATTTAAGGTGTTGATCTTGCCCCATATTATTATCTATATAAGAGATGGAGATTGATTCACATAACTCTAGATACTATTTGTTCTGGGCTTTACCTATTAGTTCAAGTTTTTGGATCAAGTAGTAATTTAATGTGGTATCAATGTAACGTTAAACTAGACGTCTTGTGTTCATTTGCCCTATTATATAGATATAATAATAAGTTGCATTTGTTCTTTTGTTAGCTGTGCTTGTCAGTGTATCCAATTCACGTGTCTTGTATTTGAGGGGTTGTTTTAATGCATAAATACTATTGTTGGGCCTTTACCTATTTAACTTTAGTTCTTGGGTCAAATTTTTCTTACTACAATTGTGGCTTTGCTTTGAATGGATTGAATACCAAATTATTAAGCGATTCCTAAATTAGAATGAATATAAATAACATAAAAGAGTGATGCTACATATGACATTATATATCCCAAAATTCACATTGCAAGTGATGTGTCATCTTATTTGGCATTGTCATATCATTAACCAAATTACCACTTCATTTACATCTCAACAGGACATAGGATTACATATCATTTAGACTAGGAATTTCATGACAACTTTTGGGATGTGTACCATAATTGAACATAAAAAGTAGCTTTGGTTTTAAATTAAGAGTAATGTTCTTTGAGCCCACCTATTTGATAAGGAGCCCCCAACATCACTTTAAATAAGGATAAATTTGTAATAACATTAATATAAAATTGAAAAAGAAACAAAAGATCTGAGGAAAAATTCACCATCCTCAACCTCCATTATGAATCTCCATAATTACAAAATAAATTTTGTTTGGTTATTAATTTCAATTTAATTAATAATAACGATGTAGACCTTTTGAATTAACTTGCTGGCCCTGTTTTTTGTTCTTAAAAATACTTATCGAAAATGAAAAATTGATATGAATGGTATAAAAATGATGGAATTGATAATCAAATACAGTCATGAAGGAACAAACCTCTTTCTTGCATAAGATGAATGGTGTCATAAACTATATGCAATTGGCCATTTAAAGTGATTTTTATTCTAATTATATTTAAAAAAAATCAATTTTCAATATAATGACTTATATTCAACATTCTTGACTTTTTTGGAATAAAAATAGTATCATTAAAGGGTGAAACACAATTGAGGAAGAAAGAAGAGAGAATTATTGTAATCCCCCCGCCCCCTTGGCCATTCTTGAATATGATTGTTTGATTGAATTTTCGTTTTATTTATTTTAAGCAATTTTACCCTCATTTGGATATGAAGATTGGGGGCTGTGAACAAATTGGTGGGAGCTTAATAAAGCAACTCTTTGGTTAATTCCACTCCCATAAAAAAAATGATAAAAAAGATTGTAAATATCTCAAATTTCTTATGGGTCCATATAGCTTATGGAACTTAGATGTTATCAGATTGCTAGTGAGTTTTGCTTTGTGTTTTGAAGAGAATCAAGAAACATTGCCTTCTGGCTTCTGCAATTTTGGTGGATAATTGATGTTGAAATAGATTGGATGATGTGGACTGAAAACAGATTGATTTTAATCTTGCTAATTCTTTCATTTGTCACTTCTCAAAAGACTTTCCCAAAAACAAGGTAAAGAGAGAAAAAACAGGAAGAGAGAAAAGAATGAAACAGATTGTGTAAAGTATACCAAAACAAGGCAAGACTTCTGACGAAGAAGATATTGATGAGATATGGACTTTGGAATCGACTCTGTTTTGGGTGTTTAAGTATGTTGCTAAAGGGATATGGTTGATACCACTGGATTAGTATTAGAAACCAAAATATACTTGTTGCACTCTATAAAATTTGAATGATGTGTAAAGATGCATTTTTTGTGGTCAATTGGTTCAATAATAGAATGGCTGTGTGGTGCAGAAAATAGTGATTAGGACTGAAATACATATTAAATGTTAATTATTTCCTGTCCGAACTTGCACTAAACACGGGGCATTTAATGGTGCATATCATATTATACCAATCAAGGGAAAATGTTATATAAAATCTAGTCCAATCCATTTAATTCCCAAATATTTGCAGTCCTGTCCAAAACACTGAACACTTACGATTTGTTTATTTACTATTACAATGATATAATTCACATTTATTTCTTTTGTCATCTGATAAGTTAACTATTTAACTGGGTTTTAGGTGACCCCAACTGTTAACGGTCATACTTTTCAATATCACTGATAATTTCTTTTATTGAATTTTTTTGACAAAAACATTCTTTTGTCGGTTTTGTACATCATAATTTTAATTTAAGTTTTTTATCTCTATATGTATGAAGTGATACTTTACATCTATGGAATTGAAATTTGAAAAAATATGTATTACAAGGATACCATCTATTTGCTTAATGAGAAAATTATTTTTATACCTTCCTGAATGCTTGATCTTGGAATTGGATTGCTTGATGGTAGCATTGGTAACTCTGTTTGAGCTGTATCTTTGCAGGAAGAGTTAGATAATCTAGCAGCTAGTTTTCCTGACCGCATCAGTGTCTACTATGTTTTGAATAAGGTATTAATCATTTCGTTTGTTGTTATACTCCATGTTCAATCTCAGTGTGTATTATGTTCAATCTCTTGATTTTAGCCATCTTTTCTTTGAAATGGATGACTCTTGTGTTTGAGCTTTCTTTTTCATTTGAATTTAAAATGAGAATTTGCTTCCCGTAAGATATTTGTTGTTTTACTTTTTCTTGTGATCTTTTTGTAACTCCATTGAAGCCGTTTTCTTTTCTTTCTTTTTCCAATTTGAAATACTATTGAGAATATTGTTGCTTTGCTCTATTTAAGTTTGAAATGGCTTTTGACAATGCTTAATGAAGTAGAATAGAAAAGTTATAGTTGTACATGCATCATGAATACAGTTGTCTCCATGTTATTTCAACAAAAAATAATATAAATTCTCCTTGATTAAGGATTCTGAATGTTGTTCTGTATTTGTACATTTCTTTTTTGTATCTCAACCTGACATGAATTTGTATTTATTTTATTATTTTTTGTGAAATGTTGATCCAATTGCAAAGAGTATTTATATTGGGTTAAAATATTAACAGGAAGAGCTTATTATTCAGAATTAAAAATATATTACCAGACTAAATGTAGGAGAAAAAGGAGTGGATGCTAGGGTTATTTAGTCTTTACTCTTTATATTTAATGTTTTAGGGTTGATGTCAAAGTTCTTTTAGTCCTTATTTCCTTATTCTATCAGAACTAATATTATGTTTTCATTATTGTATTAGGATTATAATTATATTTTAATTAAAATTAGGTTTCTTAGAGCCTGTTTGATTAGGTTTATTTACAAGCCAAAAAAGTTTATTTAAAGTCATAAGCACTTCTGAAATTTTTTTAGGTTGTTTGGTTGCATCTCAAAAGTGCTTATAAAATTATTAAAAAGAAAAAAAAAAAACTATTTTACGCTTTACGAAAGAAGTTCAAATTTTGAGCTTTTCCCATAAGCTCTTTTGTTACTTATTTAAAGTGTTGATATTTAAAAAATATCCTTGTTCTGCTTTATAAATTTGACTTGATTTATGCTTGTATACTAAAGCCCTTTTGGTAAATTAATAAAAGAAAACTCTTTTAAATTTTCTTGACCAAACAATTGAAAGCTTTTTCATAAAAACTATATTTTCATAAGTTTTACTTTATTAAGTTCTACTCGAATGAATCGTGCCTAAGCTTGTAATTAAAGGATTCTTTATTAAGTTCTGGTTATCTCTACCTCACTCTATTCTTCTAGTTTTCCCCTTTTCTTCTTGTTTTCCCTAGTCTATCATTCTCTCTCTCTCTCTCTTTTTCTATTCTTTATCTGTCACCTGCCCCTCTATCACAAAAACTCCTAAAATCAATGAGGGAACTGAAATATATTAGAACTTACTGCTATTAAGATGCATGGAAGTATCAAAGTACTATTGCCTGTTTATGTTTATTTTTGGTGATGTCCAAATGATCCTGAAATGTTGCAGAAGTAAAAGGTAGATTGTAATTTCTAAAATATATGTAGTTACTGCCCACTGCCAAAGACTTATTTGAAAAGCAAGTGAGGCTTACCTTGTTCTTTTGTGTTTTCCTGTTAATGTTAATATATGTACTTCAGCCACCTGAAGAATGGAATGGCGGTGTTGGGTTCGTCTCGAAGGAAATTATTCAAAGCAACTGCCCAGCTCCAGCATCTGATATCCAGGTAATTTTGTAATGCCAGTTACCTTAAGCAACTCCCCGTCTAACATTGCTTGATGATATCTTGCCTTTCTGTAGATATTGAGGTGTGGTCCACCGCCAATGAACAAAGCTATGGCCGCCCATCTGAATGATCTTGGATACGCTCCCAAAATGCAGTTCCAGTTTTAAAGCTCGCAACATTACACTTATTCGCAGCTAGCATGGGCATGATTTTTGTTCAAGTTATGAAGCATTGACAGTGCAGTTTGGCATTCTTGATGTCGCCCATGAGGTCCAGAAATTATAATTCAAACTATTGGACTCAATTAATTTTTGATGTAGCATAAGATATAGAATAAATCCAGGTAATTGATTTCAATTAAAGGTGATCATAAAATGACTCTTGGGCTACCTTTTAAGGTATTCATTTTTACTAAAGTTTTTAGTTGAAGGGTAATACTACATTTACAACTCAATCTCACAAATTTTTTCTCACAACCCCTAGATGGTGGCTCTCGGTTTTTTACTGGTGTATTTCTCAAAATTCAAAATTCATCAATAAAAAATTGAGAGTTGCCATGTAGAGGATGTGAGAGAGAGTTTGTGAGATTGGATTGGGAGTCAATCTTTATTGTTAGTCGAAACAATAAATATTACTATGAAATTATAGCCATCCAAAGTTGTAGTTCTATCTTTTTATTTCAACTTTTTCTTTTTCTTTTTTATCACAAAAAGTAACTGAAAACAAAAATTAAGGTACATAAAAGTTTGTTCTCTCAAAAAATAGAGTATTTGGTTTTTATATTTGGAAATAATTTAAGAAATGTATTTGATATAACAGTATAAACTATATTCAATCTTAAAAGATTATCAAACTTAAAAATAAATAAATAAATTGTTTGCAGATTTTTAAATTCATTTTCAGGATTGCATGTGAAATGAGTTTTTTTTTCTTTTTTTTTTTTTCAACAATATATATATATATCAACAAATAATTGTTTTCAAATTCTATGTAAACGGTTCATCAGCATTTTATTGATAATAGTTGAGTGTTTCTTGTAAAGGTTTGTATTCAACAAGAATAATATCAAATTAGAGTAGAGTAGGTGATATGTCAAAATGTGGAGTTGTCACATTAGTTTATAAGTAACAATTTGCAAAGAATAATTTGTATATGTAGTGCAGATATTGAATTTAGGGGAAATATAGTAAACGTTAGGTAATGAAATATTCTTATATTACTTCAAAGTGATATATGGCTGCTATCCTAAACTCATAGAGATCCTATATTAAATGAGTATTTTTATATAGAGATATTAATTATTAACAAGATAATACTCCCTAAGATCATAAACTAACCTAAAAGGGAAAGAATATTTCATTATTATTGAACCCAAAGATCTCTGTAAAGAGGAAACCATATTAAACTAAACCTCCTAAAGTTCACCTATATAAGGAACAACATAAAATATAACACAGGTTTGATCACTCAATGCTTAATTTAAGCCTTGTGAGATCATTGTTGACTTGAGTGCCTACACCAGTAATCTCGTTCGTTGTTTGTTTGTAGGGACATTGGGACTCTATAGCAAAGGCATCATGACTATAACAGACGCATCGTGACTATATAATAGAGACCACCATCGGACAACAAAATCGGACAAGACCACTTGAACGAAAGGAAAGGCAGAAGAGGTGCATCAACTATTAGTATCTAATAAACTAATTATTATAGACATGGAAGATTTATGGCTTTCCACATGTCAATCTTTCAAGTATTCTTTTGCCTCAATGCTTATCTATTTAACTCAAGGATTAAGGCTATTGATGCGTGATTTTGACACCAACGAAACGCACATGTGAAATGTTGGGTTGGCCCAAAAGACACACGTGAATGGAAAGGAAAATGACACTAAATGCAATGAGAAATGAGTTTTAAAGTGGTTCGGATGCTAAGGAAGCACATCCTACGTCCACTGATGTTTTTATTAATGATAATGATCAGGTCGCTTTAGACGACTGACTTTACACAGATGATACAAGATATCAAAGACTGTCTTTTCTAGAGAGAGAGAGAGTTTGTCAAGAGTAAAATGTGCGAATCCCCTTAATGAGAGAGGAGCTCCCATTTTATAGTGGGATGCCTTGAGATAATGATCACTGAATTTGTAAGTTGGTGGAATGATCCGTGCAAATCCTTCTTTTAGAGTAATTCACGTGATTTGCTGTAGGGATTGGACACGCAGGATCATCACAACTCCTGGCTGGCCTGACGTGCACCCATTATTCTGACGGAAGCAAGTTGTGGGTGTTACCATGATCACACGACGCAGCTGCGCTAGAATGCCAGTAAGCTCTTCCTGAGGTCTGACCTTTCGCACTTAACTGGGCGCCACGTCAGCCCTATTTTCCGAAGCATAACAGAAGTCCCCTAGTTTTTAAGGTTTGAGAATCGAACCTTGGAAACTACAAGTCATGCCGCAATTGGATGATTCCTGGAGATTCTGGAAATTCTGGTGATTTCAACCTATCTGAAAGTAGGTCGGGAAGGCACTTTTTCGAGAACGACCTTGCACGTTCATTGTTTGTAGAGGACGAGCGACTTGATTTCGTCAGACGTCACCTATTGTCCTTTTGATATGGGTGCATTTAATGAAGCAGTCCCTACGCTGACAGATGTGCTTTGTGCGTGATAAGTGCCAGCCAGATGTATTAAATGCGTTGTGCGTTGACATAGTACGCCTTATCAAGACATTAAATGCGTTGTACGTTGGAACGACGCCCTTTATCAGAGCATTAAATGTAGATTTGAGATGCAATTAATGCTCTGAGGAAGAGAGATGACCGTCGTTTGAGCTTTTCAATGGAAGAGATGAAGGTTTGACTTTATCCAGTCGTGACGCTCACTCTTCCCTGCTGATGCGCGACACGTGGCCGTGATCAACGGTGAGAAACCTTTGCCGCTCAAACACCGTTTCGATTTCAAGAAATTGAAACGCCGATTCATACGCTATAAAAACCTCGAGTCGTTCTCAGGTAATGTCACCAGAGCCTTTTTCTTAGAGAGTAAAAGATTTTCGCAAACTAGGAACCTCTGTCTTTCAAACCAGCATTTTTCCAGTATTCGAAGCAGAAGCTATTCTCATACTCCGAGAGGTAAGAGCTTTTCCTTGTTTTTGTTTCATTATCTTCCATGGCTGAATGGCGTCTGTCTTCCGGTAGCCTATCGGAGACGAGATGCTTAGGTCGGGTTCGAGCCATGAATGGCGGCTCGAATCATACCGTTAGGGTTTCCTTTGGAATTTAGGGAGTTTGTTTCCTCCTACATCATCGTACGAAATAGCGTACGGTGGCTAAATGATCTTTCTACTTGTCGCTTTTGCAGACCAGCAAAATGGACCCCTCAACAACAAGATCCGAACAGGGAACCGGTTCGTCCTCACAGGGTGCTCCAAGCATCCCTATCGAGGTCTTCTCGGTTCTTACTGGGGATGAGCTAGAGAGGGTAATAAAACAGTATGGCATCGAGGTGGATGTTTTCCTCGATGTGGCACACTCATCGCGGTTCCCGCTAAGTGGTCTGGCCGCGGTCTCCGAGGAGATCATCAAGGGTGGGGGACTGATCCCCTTCCACCCTTTCATCAAGTCGCTTTTAGACCACTTCGGGATCGCGCCGATGCAGCTGACTTCGAACGCGTACGTCATTGCCGTTGTAATGTACATCACGTGCCAAGAGAACGGGTTAGGCGAGCTGACCGCAATGGAGGTCGGCTGCTCGTATTATTTGAAGAAGAGCAAGGATAAGGACTCTTATTACTTGCCAGGAGACCTACTATCGCCGATGGGATACACAGCAACCCGAGCAACGCGGGGGCTTATGAAACGAAGTTTTTCTTCTTTCATTATGACGGCCATTGCGCTTCCAGGAACCGAGTAGGCTTTTTTTTTTTTGACAAATTCATTACACTCGAAATATGCTTTTCTAACGACCCGATTCCTTTCTGACAGTTAACAAGACGATCGACCTAGGTCTGCTCTTCGATAGAAGTAGGATCGTGCATTTCGGATCCCTACCCGAGGACAAGTGCAACATGAAGAAACTCGTGACAATTGCGAGTTTGCGGAAATACAGTTTCTTTAACGCAAACACGTCGTTAGAGCCCCCATTGAGTAAGTCCTGCTAACTGGTCCCTTTCTGGTCGTGTAAAGTGATATCTTGGCTAATGATGCTTTGCATGCAGTGACCATGCCTCCCAAGGAGTCAGAGTAGCCGCGACGAAGGCCGCTTGCTTTCCCTCGGACAAGAAAAGCCAAAGCGGCCGAAGCTGCTTCGACCGTTCCACCGGCTGAAGGCGCAACATCGGGCCCACCGGTGCGACCTTCCGAAACTTCTCAAGCGCAACCTTCAGAGGACATGCCAATGCGAACCACGAAGGTCTCCCAGTCGTCGCCTGCTTGCCCGAGGCTGAAGACAACAGCCCAGCGAAAGAAGAGGAAACAGATTTAGGTCGAGGAGTCAGAGACTGAATCTGAGGGCGATCAATCAAAGAGGTCATGACCGGACGCGAGCAGGTCGGGCAAGGAACCTATGGATGACACGACGACTATTGAGGCCGCAAAGAAGGATACTCCAATGCTGGACTCGCTGGGGAACCTGCCGGAGTACTTGCAGCCGGTGGTCTACGCCCTATTGGAATGCAGACTCTCGGAATCGTTCAAGCGGTTTGCAAGTTCCAGCGATGTGGACCTAATGTCCACCTCGGTCCAACACTTAAGCAAGGTGAACGAATTGTCCTCGGTGAGGACTTCCCTTAGCTTCTTTTGATTAGCTAACTCTGTCTTTCTTTGTTCGCAGGCTATTCTTTCCATGCGAATGTCCATGGAGAAGGTTCAACTGGGAGTCGCAAAGGGAGGTGTTGCTCTGAAGGAAGAGAACACAACGCTCAAGCGAAGCCTGAAAGTTGTCGAAACAGAGTGAAACCTATCTTTTGAGTTGGCGAACAGGTACCTGAACGAAAGAGACGCGACTCTTCGTACGGTGGACTTCCAGAAAGCGCAGCTCGAGAAGCATGCAGAGGAAGTATAGGAGCTACAAAGGACCATAGCCAGACTCTCCAAGGAGGCCGGGGAGAAGGACCAGGAGCTTAGAGCGGTTTATCTGCAGGCCTCGCAAACAGAACAAGAGAGGGACGCCTCCGAGAAGCGAAGGCAAGCTCTCGAAGTTGAACTTCAGGAAAGTCAAGAAAAGTTTGCTTCCTTAACACAAGAGATGCAGGATTAGACAGCGGAGGTCGAGGAGAAGGCTGCCAAATGGGCAACCGACTCTATTTATGCCTTGCGACTGAAGAATCCGCGACTTGACTTGTCCGACCTCTTGGAAGACTGGCAAGATACACTTATGTCCATGGCGCGG